GAGAGAGAGAGAGAGAGAGAGAGAGAGAGAGAGAGAGAGAGAGAGAGAGAGAGAGAGAGAGAGAGTTGACATTGGGACTTGGTGACATTCGGGCATTGTCCATGTCCAATGCCCAGTTCAGCGACAATATGATTTGACATGGTTTGAGCAGCGACATTGGGGATACATTGGAGACTGGGTTCATCGGGCTATGGTGGCTGATCCTCCCTATCTCCCTCTTCTCTTCTCCCTCTTTCTGAGTGATGACGTATGCTGTCAGGTTCTGTCATTGTCCATGATGAGTCGAATCTTGGTATTTCAGTCTTCCACTGTGCTATTTTTGTATTGTCTCTGAGAGGTCGGTTCTCGGTTCTGATCGATGCCGATTAGGCATGCGGCAGTCAGGCAACCTTCCGGGCTGGTGTGGGCGGGTCATGTGCCTGGAAAAATAGCCCAGTTCAAGATGCAAATCATGGAGAGGGATCTGGGTGCTGTGACTGTATGACCATGAATGCTCTGTACATTACTTTTCGTTTTCTTGTAATAACGTGACCACGGATATGGTGATGGACTAAACAGAATGTTTCTATGTGTGATCCCAGAGGACTGCAGAGCAGAAATTAGCAAAGACCCTAGATGAACAAGCTACAATACGTCGAGAGCAGGAGCGCATTCTACCTGATTTGGCTGCGGTAAGTCTTGTCCCTCAGCCCTTTTCAGAGTCTCACCGTTCTCTTATGGCCATCAAATAGCTGGGTAATCACAAAGGACTATGTCTTCGGTTTTTCCTTTTTTTTTTAACCAGCGACCTCTACTAGAGGGGGTGGTAAGAGCAGCCACTTCTGTCATTTCTGCACATTTGCATACCATAATGTGTTAAAGCACCAGCACATTGAGAATCCGATGAGCCTCTCCTAAAATTTCGGAGGCTCGCGCGCCATTAATCAAATACATTGACGGTGGGCGGCCTCCGAAAGGGCCTGCGGCCGATGTAAGGCATGTACTGGTGGTTTAAGACTCTTAAACCACAAGTGCATCCGGACCTCTTTTTTACGAGGTGGTTTTCCATTGCGCGCCAAGTTTGGACGAAACGCCATGGTGTTTTTCAAACCTTTTTTCTTTTTCAGTTTTGGCTTGAGTCGCCAGCCATTTTGGTCCGGCTGAGCCTCCGTTTTTTTGGGACAGGCTAAATCGTGATTCTCAACTCGGCTGAGGCCGTGTACCAGTGGTTTAAGAGAAATTAAGTCATTTCTGCAGCCTGTGCATACCGTAATGTGCTAAACCACTAACGAACCCTCATTTTGGCTGTATCTGGCCGGAAATACAGCTTGTATACATTCATTTTAAGGGTGCGTTATGTTCGGGGGAAGACGGTAGTACCTCTGAGCCTATTTTTGACAAGTACTGGTCTACCTCCGAACTTTCAGGAGCCCAAGCCCGCCGTTGATAAATCTGATCGACGGCCGTCGTTTCGTTTCGGCCTCCTGAAAGGTCGGAGGCCGATTATTTTCGAACCGACAAAGGTACTAGTGGTTTAAGAGAAATTAAGACTGTTGAGAGCATAGTTATGAGCGAGACATGTGAGCAGTTGCACGGGCTGTGTTGGTACTATGGATGGGTACAGATTTCAGAGCATCCAGAAATCCTCGCTTTTGCATCCGAATTCCTCACTGAATCGAATATAATAAAAAGGAAAATATAACAGAATCGGACGAAGGCACCCCCCTTTAAAGCCCCTTCAAAACCAATCTATACCCCCCAAGTAGCGTAGCTCTACAAAAGAAAACAGCCATTCAAAAGAGCAATGGGAATGATATCAGTAAGTAGTCAGCCACAGGAGGAGGAGATAAAGAAAGAGAGGAAGACAGCCAAAGGGGTTTTTTGAGGACATGAATTTCTGAGAAGAAGAAGTATAAAAGAAGAAGAAGAAAAGAAGAAGAAGAAGAAGAAGAAGAAAGGAAGAAGAAGAAGAAGAAGAAGAAGAAGAAGAAAGAAGAAGAAGAAGAAGAAGAAGAAGAAAAGAAGAAGAAGAAAAGAAGAAGAGGAAGAGAGAAGAGGAGGAGGAAGAAGAAGAAGAAGAAAAAGAGAGTTGAAGACGAATAATTGAACCGAATTGAATTGGAAGAGTGAGGCCAATTGCTACTTGTCCACACTTACAAACAAGTCATCAAAGCACCTGCATGGACATCACTATTGCTCTTAAACACGCACATTTGCTGACGCATTTTGGCTGGTTGCACAGCATCACTTTTCAAGGGGCTTCCGCTGACCCAAAACCCACCATACCTTCTACCCTGAGCATAATAAGCTGAAGAAGAAGAAGAAGAACAAGAACAAGAACAAGAAGATGGAGATGAAGAAGAAAGAAGAAGAATTGAATAGAGAATAGAGAATCATGAGGCCAATTGCTAGTAATCCAAGCATCTGAACATAGTCTTCATTGAACAAGCTCGGACATTGAAGAAGAAGAAGAAGCATCTGAACATAGTCTTCATTGAACAAGCTCGGACATTGAAGAAGAAGAAGAAGCATCTGAACATAGTCTTCATTGAACAAGCTCGGATGAAGAAGAAGAAGAAGAAGAAGAAGAAGAAGAAGAAGAAGAAGAAGACAAAGGAGGAGGAGGAGGACGAGGACGGGATACTCGCGCTAAGGATTTCCTGGATGCATCTGAACACCTTTGGCTTCCAGATCTAGTTGAAGAAGAAGAAGAAGAAGAGAGACAAAACGAACTCCTGGGTTGCGTGGACTTGTTTCTGGGATCTCGTAAGAATCTGTACCAGAACAAAGGTCGCTTTCATATTTTTTGAACCTGAAAGCAAAGACTAAGCTGAAACGCCTAATATTGATGTACCTTCATGCACCTGAAGGTGGAGCAGACCTGACAGACGTGCCAGGCCTCGGTGATGTGCATCTGACATGTGGCAGTTCGTTCAATGACAGTTTGTCAGATTTCCAAGTTGCAACAGGAGAAGTGTGCCCCCCTGTGGTTACACTTTGGAAATTTGAAGCTTGAAAAGCTGCGACAAAAACTCGTCGAGGCGCGGAACTCTGGGGCACGGGTAGAATTGTTGGCAAACAGATCAGGAGTTTGAATCCTCCTCTGACTCTCTGATGAAAAAAAAAAAAAGACGGATCCGATAATGTGTGGGCCTACCCCCTTCTTTTAAAAAAGATGAAAATACGTACGGGCGAAGTGTTGGTGCACCCATGAACTGTTGAAGTACTGACCGATGCTCGAATCCAGATGCAATCAGATGCACAGATAATTCTGAATTACTTGGGGCTGGTCAGTTCAAAGATGATGATATCTCAAGGCTGTCAGCCTTTTCCAAAAAAAAAGTAAAGGCAAAATTTTCACAAAAACATTCTGAGAGCCTCATGAAGTGTGAAACTAAAGTCTGAAACGTTTCTTTTTTTGTTGTCGGGTTGAACCGTTGAATGAATATACTGCCAAAAAAAATGGACGAGTTCTCGATTTATGCACGTCATCTTTGTGCAGGGGCCACGCTAATCTTCTCTGTATAACTATCATTCCAATTTTGATGGATGTCCCGAAATGATTTTTTTTTTTTTTTTTTTTTTTTTTGTTGAAGTTATAACTTACAACTAACTTGATGCATGCATTTACGGTTGCTGTTTTGTTCAAGCAGATTAAGGAAGCCGTTGTCCAAAGGGCTGAGGCCATCTCCAAGCTTATGAAGCGCATAAATGAAGTTGAGGATCGAGTTTATGCCGACTTCAGCAGATCTGTGGGAGTTGCAAACATCCGTGAATATGAGGAGACTCAGCTACGCCAAGCGCAAGAACTCGCAGAGAGGAAGATGAACCTGAGCTCCCAAATTGCACGCATAAAGAACCAGTAAGCGAAGAGTATTGAATCTATCCGTCAATCCATCAGAAAAGAGTCTGAGAATGTGAAGAATTTAATCGTCAAATTGTCACTGTGATGGTCACTCTTGTTGTTCTCTTCACAAATTGAATTGCTAATTTGAAACTTACCCCTGGGTAAGTTACAAATTAACAATTTATTTTCCTGGGTATTAACTGCAGGTCTAACTTACCATATATTCCCGATGACGAAGTTTGTGTGTATTTTCTCCTTTTTATTCCTTTGCTACCTTTTGATAGCTATACTCAGTCTCACCTAGCTCAAAAATGAAATTTGTAGCGTGCAGGCAAATTGTGTGGTTTGTCTTATCATTCACTCGCTCCCAAATGATTATGTTGCATTCAGGCAAATCGTGTGCTTCGTCTAATAACAACATTCACTTGAGGATGATTTTCCGTAGCGTGCAGGCAAATCACATGCTTCGTTTAATAACAATCATTCACTCAAGAATAATTCTGTGCTTTGCTAGGTTACCAGAGTGGCCCAGGGTCACTTGCCCGGCCGGGCCAAAAAGATTAAAATATATATATGGGTTCAGCCTCCTGATGAGTCGGTGAAACTCCGACGAAACAGTTTGTCACAGCCCCTCGTTTGTTCTCCTCTCTCTCTTTGCCTACGGTTTACCGGGCAGTTCTGTTTGTGCCGATATATATATATATACAGGGTTGCCGGCGTTCGGGACGGGCCGAACGCCCTAACGTTCAGCACCCCCTCTCGACTACGCCCGCACGTTCAGCACCCCCTCTCGACGCGTTCGGCCGTTCGGCCGAAAGCGGAACCCAAAAAAAAATAAAATCGAAAACCGAAAAAAAAATATATATTTTTTTACGGAAAAAAAAAACTTTTTTTCCCAGACGATAGGAAAAATCTGAAAAAAATATATGTTATGCAGAAGAATAAACTAAACAACATTTTCCCCAACGGTACGTCCAAATTCTTTACCAAATTTGAAATAAAAACCAAATACTAAAAATAAATAATAATTGTTATGATCCTGGCCAATTTCGACATACACATCCATCAGATTGCTGGCCAATTGCAGAAAGAAATGAATGAACTTGAGAGAAGAGAGAGGATGAGAAGAAGAAGAAGTAAGAAAGAAGAAGAAGATGATGTACACCAGCACAGACAAATGACAAGGCTCTTCTTCTTCGCCCAACAATCTCCTCCTCCTTATCTCCCCCTTCTCTGATTCATACAAGAAATGATAATACAATGTTGAATAGCTGATCCGGAATCAATGTCCGAGTCCCTCTTCTACTGCAGGTATCACTTGAGGTCCACCATAGCCATGGCCGCCTCCCCACTCTTCACTCTCATAGGCCGAGGCTATGGCGGACTACTAGGCCTTGCCCAGATGCCCAAAGGACAACCCAAAGCAGCTATGGCTGCTCTAGCTCAGGCCGCCATGCCYRACCCTGCCTYGAAGCTTCTTGGTGTRGCTCTCCCCAGTTGGGGACTCCCTGCTGCAGCGCCCACCAAGGTGATGAAGATGGCTGCCACCATAGCCAGGTAAGTACCCCTGGTGCTCCTCCCCCTTCCTTCCTTCTTCCTCCCTCGTGTCCTTCTCCTTCCTCCTCAGCAGCGCTGCTCCAGCATAGAGCTGCTCCAGCCAGCGCGCCACCAGTGTGTCGCCAAACTTGCGCACCGAAAAAGAGGCCGGACTCTCCGCCCGGCCCAAAGATATAGCGGCCTGCTTTGCCTCTTGGGCGGTGACTTCCAGGCCGCTCGGCCTTCCAAGCAACCGGTGCCTTCTCCCTTTCGGAGGGAAACATCATTGCAGACTCTGATATTACCCGTACAGGCCCTAGACCCAGACTGGTTGGACTGGTATCCACCTAGACCTAACCTACAACTACTGGGCGTCTAAAAATGCCACTTTTGTCTACTTCTGCTCGGCCTCCAGTACCCGCACATCTACCCCTTCAGGGTGCGGTACCGGCCTACCCGCTACTTGACTGTTTTTCCTGCTGCAATCCCTCAATGTCACGGCCACAGGTAAGTACTGGCCCTGAGGGCCCAACGAACAAGCAAGTGCCCTGATGGGCCACACACATACTCATGCCAACCAGCACTTTGACAGACATGGTCACACACACACCCAAGCCAACCAACACTCAGACAGGCATGGTCACACACACACTCAAGCCAACCAGCGCTCAGACAGAAATGCAGTCCAGCAAGCGTGCACACACAGACTTAGTAGCAGGCGGGAAACTCAGCAAGGCATTCAGTCTATGAGCAAAATTCAGAAATCAGCTGTGTGTTTCGGTCCATGTTTGGACGGGTCATCACATAATAATGAAAACTAGAAAAAACAAAATGAGAATGAAATTATTGAGTGGGCGAGCACGTTTTTGACATCGCCATCTTTGGGGATTCTTCATTTTTTTTTGGCTGTGACAAATGCCATGAAAATTTATATATGTGTATCTTACATAATAGAGAATATCATAGTTGCGGCGCACCAGTGCGCAGTGCGGTGCGCACTGCGCTGTGCGCTGGAACGACAGCACGCGCACTGTGCGCCGTGTGCTGTGCGGAGTACCCAGTGCGGTCCGCTGTGCGCGGTGCGCGCGCTGAGGGAGTTGCGCCCTGTGCGCGATATAAAAAAAAAAAAAAAAAAAAAAAGGCCCCAAGAGAGAGAGAGAGAGAGAGAGAGAGAGAGAGAGAGAGAGAGAGAGAGAGAGAGAGAGAGAGAACAAAAGGTCCCCTTCACATCAATTTGAGGCCCCCCCCAGGTATCTCGGACGGCTCCTACAATACATGTGGAGCCATTGAGGGCCAGCTTCAATGAGAAGGATGACCTCGTCACGTGTGGGAGAGATGTGGGCAGACCACCAATATATGCTGTGGATTCGAGTTCAGGGCTGTAGCTCGGCAGTTATGGGTCACCAATTCAGGTAGACCCTGTTCGTGTCTACACGTGATTCTCAGGGCC